TATGTATAGGTGTGAAAACTGGACAATGAAGAAAGCTGACTGGGAGAAAGTAGGTTAATTCAAAATATGGTGTTGGAGGAGAGTTTTACAGCTACTGCCAAAAAGACAAATAAGTGGGTTCTAGATCAAATCAAGTCTGACCTCTTCCTAGAAGATATGATGACTTAACCAGAGGTAACAAACATGCGGCCTGGGGGCTGGATCAGGCCCCCAGAGGGCTTCTATCAGGCCCTCGGTGGAACTGGCTGTCTCCTGCTTCTTCTTCCAGTTCTGCTGCTGCTACTGCATTGTAGCTTGCTTTCCAAGACTCACTCAATCACTCAGGAGAGATAGATAGGCAAGCTTCTTTTCCCTGCAAGGGCTGAGGTGACTCTCCCTGCCCCTTTCCCTTCCAAGGGGAGGGAGGGAACGAGCCAGAGCTTGCTTTCTGGCCAGACTGTCTCAATCACACAGGAGAGAAAGGCAAGCCTTTCTTCCCCTCCATTGGCTGAGGCTCCTCCCCAAAGGGAGGGAGGGAAGGAGGGAGAGCTTGCTTTGCTTGGCTGCCTCAGTTTCAGGGGAGAAATACAAAGCACCCTTAAGACCAACAAAGTTTTATCCAAGGTATGAGCTTTTGTGTGCCTTGCTACAGTATGAGTGTTTTGTTGGGCTTGTTATTGTTAGCCGAACTGCTCTATCTACAACAGTTGGCAAATTTTACTCTAGGTTATTTTTGCCAGCTATACCAAGGTCCAGTCCACCCCAAGGATTTTACCAGTAAAAGAGTCGAGGCTGTTGGTTCCAAAATAATCTGTCTTTTACTTAAGGGTTTGATCTACCTCAAAGGCAAGTGTGAAAGTTTGGCGTCAAGGAACTTCCTTGATGTGCAGATGAAGCTTGGCCTTTCCCAGGTAATCAAAGAGGCATCTGGCAGGAAATGCTCATTCAGATGTAAAGCAGAGATGTGTACAGATCATCAATGGGGGTTGCCTTCATGCAAGTTGTTGTTTGCTGACCATAATGGTGATGTGTGCTTTCTCTCTCCCTCAGGCTAGTAGCTGTGTATTTGAAACCTCATTAACATGTGGTGCAGGCACCTTCTATGTGTAACTTCACAACAGGTGCTTTGAACAGCTTTCTTTGAGCCTATGGCACAGTCCATGTAGTGTTTGGCAGCAAATATAAATCCATAAAGCAAAATATCAGTCTCATTCATAACATTATGCTGTGGTTCTCCTGGGTGCAACTGGGTTCCCTCCCCCTTTTCATGATCCAGTTTTTCTCAGTAGCAAAGCAATGTGAACTATTTAGATGAGGAATAAGAACAAGCAAGTGAGGTGGGTTAGGCTGAGTTTATGTGTCCAGACCAAGTTCACCCGGCACATTTCCTTTGGGGATTTTGAACATAGACTTCCCAGACAGTTGGCTGGTACTGACCACTGAGGAAGACTAGTTTTGTAGACAAACACATAGCCTTCAGTCTGTGTCATGGTGCTTTCTCATGTTGTGGACCAGCACATGAAGCAATTTATGTACAAAACATTTTATGTTTTCCCCTGGGTCCTAGGCTCAGAATTCTGAGCATGAGATTTCTATAGTGAATGTCAATAAATCAAAAGTAGATTTTCAGCTTACAGATACACACTAGAACAGCATACTCAAGATTCCAACAGCACAGATGTTTTGATGCAGTAATTCAGAGCAAGAAGTGTCAGTTATCAGACACTGTTAAATAAACAAAATATTGCAAGAGTGCTAATGTTTTAAGCATGTTTTTATTTTAGGTAAAAAAATCCTTTGTGTTTGTGTCCTTTATAAAGTTTATATCCCCGTTACCTGGCATTACATTTTTGACACACCTGTCCCGGCCCAAAAACAATAACAAATTAGTTCGACACCCCTGGACTAAACTGAGGCTATCGTGCTTTTGGTCACATTATGAGAAGACAAGAGTAACTGAAAAAGGCAATAACGCTAGGAAAAGATGAAGACAGCAGGAAAAGAGGAAGACCCAACATGAGATGGATTGACTCTACAAAGGAAGACATGGCCCTCAGTTTGCAAGACTTGAGCAAGACTATTAACAATTGGACCTTTTTTTTTTTGCTGTCAAGTCATGGCTGACTTAGGTGACCCCATAGGGTTTTCAAGGCAAGAGACGTTCAGAGATGGTTTGCCATTGCCTGCCTGTACATCATAACCCTGATATTCTACGGTAGTCTCCCTTTCAAATATTAGCCAGGGCTGACCCTGCTTAGCTTCTGAGATCTGACAAGGTCAGGTTAGCTTGGGCTATCCAGGTTAGGGCGTTTTTGAGGACATTAATTCATAGGGTTGGCATAAGTCAGAAGTGACTTGATAGCACTTAACATATACATGCAAATAAATATTGTGTCAAGAAAAATTAATTCTCTGCATTCGGAGACTGTATTCTGGGCACACGCAGAATGCTTTCTCCTCACTACACAGTAACCATACACATCTATCTACCTGTAATTACCACTTAATTTCTAGGTCAGAAGAAGTTATTTGCATACAAGTGTAACTTGGAGATCCCCATTTAGGGACTGATTAACTGTTATCTCCTGTACCTACCCACCTCCAGCTTTCCTAACACAATTTTTAATCCTGTCCTACAGTCTTACACCCTGCAACATCTCGTGAGTATAAGTACACTAATTAAAGGACTCATGAGCAAATCTCTTTGCTCTGGATAGCTGATGTTGTTCCATATTCCAGATATGTGGCTTCAATGACTTCTGTGCATGTCTGCTTGTATAGATAACTACTGCACATATAAATTGGAGATCCAACTACAACTTACATTTACATATAAATGGCATGGCATGTTTGTCCCAATCAAAAGTGCAAGCAGTGAGGCTTCTGAACTGAACAGGAAACTTTATTCGAAAAAAGGCAGGACTCAGGTATCAAAAACCTGAATTCCAAAGGACAAGTGAAGCTACAACCTTTTTTTATAATAGTGCAGTCTTTTTGACATGTGCAGATGCCCATTCTTTTGTTTAACTCCACATGCTTCTCTGTCCCATCCATGGTTATTCTCACAAATTCTTCTCTTGCCGTTAGTGCCTGACCATGCAAGTAATTCCCTAAAGCTCTTAGTACCACTCTAATTGGCAAGGGAGGGTAGAATCTTTGACTGTTAGGTAACCTTTCTAAATTATGGTGCTTACCTTACATTACCTTACGTGCCATACAAAGGAATTTCCCTTTGCTATTATACAAGTGAGCAAGCAGTGAATTTTTCCTATTGAGCTATTATTTTTCATTTCTAACCAGAAACCCAAAATGGCGTTTCTTTGACCCTTGTACCACAACTACATGCAGATACCATGTGGTAATACAACCAATGTTCCCTCTAAGCTGTGGAGTCCTGTGAGCAAAAATTCTATTTTCTGAGCTACCGGCATTAAAGTTGTGAGCGAGCAATTTGGCTACGGCATAAATTAGTTTGCTCCAGAGCCCTCCTTCCTGAGCGAAGACAAAAATGTGTGAGCTGGAAGCTAAAGAATGGTGAGCTAGCTCACACTAACTCAGCTTAGAGGGAACACTGAATACAACTATTCAGTGTGGCATCACTAGGCCCTATAACATCACTAGCACCTCTAGCCATAACATCATCAGGCCCCACTCAATGAGCCTCTAGGTGTAGGATCATGGGAGTGTCATGTACTGCCACTTTCAGAGGCTATGCCAGTAGGCGTCAGAGCATCAGGAGAGTAGGAGGGACTCAGTGCTTCAGTTTCTCTTCTCAGTCTCCATGCCAGCAGGCTGTAGGAGGGCAGGGCCTACTAAGAATCTGAAGAACCAGGCCAGGCCTAGAGCTCTAGAAACAGCTTAGTTAAGTACGGTTATTCTTTATTTCAATACCCAAAGTTCCCACCCTAGAGTTACTGTTAATGAAGAGGCCTTCAGCCAAACAGAACTGGGTGTTTGTTGTCTGTGCCACTACACAAAAGGGGGCTTGGAAATCCTAGTGCTATCTCACCCTTGGTCTACTCATGCCACCTCCCTATAATGTTTCTGGCTTTGGGCCTGATTCTACCAAAGTGTTTGTTAAGAATTTTTAAAATGGCTAATTGTATGTGTTCATTATGCTTACAAGCAATGTTCCCTCTAAGCTGAGTTAGTGTGAGCTAGCTCACAGTTTTTTAGCCTCCGGCTCACACATTTCTGTCTTAGCTCAGGAAGGATGGCTCCAGAGCAAACTAATTGATGTAGTAGCCAAACTGCCGGCTCACAACTTTAATGCCAGCAGCTCACAAAGTAGAATTTTTGCTCACAAGACTCCACAGCTTAGAGGGACCATTGCTTACAAGTTACCAATCCATACATATTGGTAAAGGGTGAGCAATAAATTAGCATACAGCATAATGAAGATGTTTAACAGAATCAAGGACCAAACAGGAATAGCAAGCTTGGTTTTTATGGTTACCATTTGTTTGGGTTTAATTCCGAGAAAAACACAGCGATAGGAGATAAAAATGTCAACAGTGGCAGATGTATCCTCAGTTGTGGAATGTAACTCTCAGCATCCTTTGTGTCAGCTTATGGCAGAGAGAGACTTACAGCTCTCAGAGTCCTACAGGCCGTTTACTGCGATTGCCTCACAATAGAGAGTAACAGGATGGGCGGGGGACCCTTCACGATCTGCGTGTCCCTCCGCATCTAAAGCCAGTCTCCTTGCGTCACTTGTGCCGTCATCCACCTGCCCCCCCTTAAAGTTCCACATTCTTGTGACAGCAACAGCAAGTAGAATGATATAGATGCCAACCAGACACCAGCCAACAATAGCTTGGGAGACATGATGACACTCTAAATTCACCCCCGCCCGTCGCTTCACTCGGGTTCTCCGGTCCGTCTCCTACAGCCCTCGGGAAGCCCCGCCTTTTCCTCCTGCTATCCGCACGCCGATTGGCGGCCAAGAGGCCGCGTGTTGGGCAGCTCCCCCTCCCCGCCCCCTCCCCGCCCCCGGTTTCTAATCCGGGAGGGCACGCGCCGCTTTATGGCGTGAAGAGGGTCGGGCAGTGTGCCGGCTTCAGGGTTCTCTTCCTCATTTCCTGCTCTGTCAGGGTCGCCTAGGAGACAGGCCAGGAGTCGCGCGGACGGAGCCTCTCCATGGCAGCGGCTTTCCAGAGAGGGACGATGGGCCCGCTGGTGGGGTCCATCGATCAAGGGACCAGCTCTTCGCGCTTCTTGGTAAGCGTGAGAGAAAGCAGACGCTCCCGGGAGAAGGGGGGAGGTTGCCCTTGATGAGAGGACGCAGCTGGGGGCAGAGGGTGGTGAGGCAGTTGGGCATGCGCTAGCCATGGCAGCTGCCTTCGGGGCTGAATTTTGGAACGCGTGAAGCAAGAACAGGTGTGAAGTGCTATTAGCAGGTGCAGAGGATCTCGCCCGTCAGAGTTTGAGGATGGTGTGCCCAGGCTGCCTTCGAGCCTCGCTGCGACAATACGTTTCTGTAAAGCGTGTGTTGTCCATGCAATTAATGCTGATCCCCTTTGCCTCCCTTACGCTGTGACTGGTGTCCTGGGGGGCGCTGGGTGTGCAGAAGTGAACTGTCTTTGGGAGGAGGGGAAAACTCTTTCCCTTCAGTGACAGCAACTGGCTGGCGTCTCATATCTCCTCCTCCTAGGGTTTAGATTCTGCGAGAGGCTGAGGACTGCGTTGGGAAGGCCTCTCGTTTGACCCTTATCTTCGGGTCTAGGGTGTGACGAACGGGGGTGGGCTGGTTCTCCAGCGCAGTGAATATTTCTGATCCTTCCAAGCCATGCATTGCCCTTGCCAGGTCTCTGGTAGCTTTCATGGAGCTGTTTTAGTGGTTAATATGTGCCATACTGAGGAAAGCAACAGAAATATAAAATCACCCTGCCTCCTTAGGCTACAGGTTCTGTTGAGTGCTGAACCAGGACTACCAGGAAGTTCTAGTATAACTTACATTATTGTCATCAGAAACTAACAGAGGCTGCATAGTTGTAGTTGTCAGATCTTTAATGCCTTTTGGTGTTGAGATTGATGAAGATAAAGGTGCCTGTGGCATGCAAGAAATGTTGCCCTGTATTTACCAGAACCTTGTATCCTGTTTAAATAACCTGTTTAATACAAATCTATGACTGCAGTACCCTATTTCCTCCAAGAGATTCTGGAAACTAAGCAGGGTCAGCCATGGTATTTGGATGGGAGACCACCAAGGAATACCAGGGTTGCTACACAAAGGAAGATAATCGCAAACCAGCTCTGAACATTTCTTGCCTTGAAAACCCTACAGGGTCGCCATAAGTCGGCTGCAACTTGATGGCAAAAAGTAAGAAAGAAATTTACTACAGAATAACTGTGCTATCCTAAGAACACTTTCCTCAGAGTAATCTCCATTGAACAAACATGAGTAAGACTCTAAGTAGACCTGCTCAGATTTGCTTTGTGTGTTTCACAGAACAGTTACTTTCATGTAAGATCAGAATACACAGCAGTTGTTGGAGATCTCTGTAGCTGTTGTTGATATACAAGAAGATGCAGATTTTGTATACTGGGGTTTTGTACATTGACTGCCTTTGTATGGAGCAAGTTGGAGTCTAGGTGGCTGCCACTACAAATTAATATTTCCCCAATCAGGCTCTTGGATGAGCACACACTGGTCAAAAGCTTACTTTAAATGTCACCCTTGCTTGAACTAGAACAATACAATTTATTTCTGTATGCCCTGCTTTTCTCCTCAATGGGGAACCAAAATGGCTTACAGCATTTTTCTCCCCTTCTCCATTTCATCCTTCCCAAAACAGCCCTATGAGTTAGGTTAGACTGATAATGTGTGACGATGCTAAGGTCACAAGCCTCTGGGTCAGAGTGGGGATTCTATCCTGGTTCTGTAGGATCCTAGGCCAGCACTCCAACCTCTGGCTAAAGTCCAGGAATGTGTTGTACAAAGGATTGTGAAAGATTATAAGGGTATGGGGCTGTTCAAAGTCCCTGTTGTTGCAACAGAACCGTGTTGCAGATAAGGAGAATGAGTAAGAAGCAAGAGTGAGCCAGTTTCGTGTAGTGGTTTAGTGCGCGGACTCTAATCTGGGAGAACCGGGTTTGATTCCCCACTCATCCACTTGCACCTGGCTGAATGACCTTGGGCAAACTGTAGTTCTGATCAGAGCTGTTCTTGAAAAAGAGCAGTTTCTGTCAAGAGCTCTCTCAGCCCCACCTACCTCACAGGGTGTCTGCTGTGGGGAGGGGAAGGGAAAGGAGTTTGTAAGCCACTCTGAGACACCTTTGGGTAGTGAAGGCCGGGGTATAAATCCAATCTCTTCTTCTTCTACAATGCAGATTATGAGACAGAAACACTTAAGGCTGTGGTCACACTAAATAATCTACTTTCAGTGCACTTTCCAACTGGATGTGTGGACTGGCAAAATCCAGTTGGAAAGCGCATTGAAAGTTAATAGAAAGTTATTTAGTGTGTGAGACCGCAGCCTAATTCCATCTGCACCTGCACATATTACCTTAGGTAGACTTTCCACACGTGCTACGTTCAACATTGTGCAATGAGTAATTTGTCATACAGTCTGTCCGTATGAAGGTTCTGCTGCTTTTTAAATACCTAGAACATCAAGCTACCAGAATTGGTAGGAAACTCTTATTTAAGCATGTGCTTTAGGAAGTAGGAGTCTTCCTTCTGGGATTCCAGTGCAACAGGAGGTTTATATGAATTCTGGAGGGAAACAAAAAGTTCTCATCCTACGCTTGCAAACATCTTGATGACTCCTCAGACATGAAAAGAAAGTTTGAGTCCAGTGGCACTTTGAAGACCCACAAAGTTTTATTCAAAGTATAAGTTTTCATGTGCATGCACACTTCTTCAGATACAAACATCAAGTTAGCCTTTGGTGTGATATCCATTTTGTTATTACTTTTAATACTTGTTTACCATTCTTCCCCCATTTTTCCTCAACTTCTCTGATGGTAGAGATTGCAAAGTAACTTAATTTCTGTGTGTTTTCCCCTTTTGGATGTGAAATGTTTCTTTATGGTAGTATGTGTATTGGCAGTATACACAAAGTGTTACAAAGCATTATACAGGAAATATGATGGCCTGAGTACAGTATTGGATTTAGCACTTGTTCATTTTTTTTAATAGTTAATGTACTAGAACTGGAGCTGAATAAGTTCAATGCACCCCTGGGCAATAATTAACAAATGTTAGAATTCCTTGTTCTCTTGTGCTTTAGGGATATTTGGAAATATCTCTGCTTTAGAAACACTCATGAGTATACTCCTGTTGATTCCAGCCTTGGAAGCCTTTCCCGCTTGCCTACCTTAACTGAAAACCCATAAACATATTATGGTGTTTGTTAAGGGGCTCAAACCTGAACTCCGTGAGTCCCCAGGGTAGTTGCACACAAGTAACCTGGCCGTTAGTGGGTTGTTTTTTTTAAAAAAAAAGGATTTACAAATTTATTTGAAATTTAATCAATTAGAAAAGCTCACTAAGCAGCCAACACATTACTCTAAAACAATGGAGCAACATTTACTCTAAAGCAAGATGGCACAGAATGACTTTTGCTCAATCTTGGAAACAAGAAAAAGTACCTGAAATCTGGGAATAGATTAAAAAGTTGCTTTTTATAGCTGAAATGGACAAATTGACAAGGAAACTGAACAACGAGGTTCCAGAGGAATTTATGGCTGATTGGATGGACTTTAAAGAATATCTGGAGAAAGATTGGGATGTGAAGAATAATCTATTTTGCTTTGATAACTTCTAAGGATGGAGAAAGAGACTCCGAAATAGCTGATATAGATAAGAGATATATTGATGAAACAGTTACTGATTAATTTTAATTGTTGGTGTTTAGAGATAAGAAAACAAGAAGGGAAGAAGTCAGTGGAGGGGGTGGGATCACTGTGGGAAGCCAGAGGAGAGGGAGGGGGAAACTGAAAGGGGTATGTGACGAATAGAATGTTTTAATGTTGAACATGTTACAGTATTCCAATAATAAAAGTGTTCAATAAAAAAATAAAATAAAACAAGATGGCACAAACCTTAAGTTTTAAAGTCAAGGCTAAAGCTCAGCAATTCTCTACATTACTAGCAATTGCAATCCAAGCAGGTCATAGTTCAAGTCTTTAGTCCATCAGGATCTCAGCTAGCCTCTCTTCTTCTAGGCCTTAGCTAAATTATAGTTTTTGACCCAACAACATCAGGTGAGGATGACATCCAAATAGAACACATTCTCCAGAAATACTCTAGAAGATTACGTCATCACCCCTGACTCTCCCCCCCCCCCTTCACGGGCAGCAAGTTCTCATGAGAAATTAATCACGTCACCTTCATCTCTGGCCTTGAAGTTGGTAAGAGCTGTATAGGCCAAGGAACCCATTAGTAACACCTGCAGAATGACCTAGGCCCATTACTATTCACATGAATCCTTGAAGGGAGGCCAGGGGAGCTTTTACCTCACAGTGTTCTTTTAGACTAAATGTTGTAAAGAAATAGATTTGATAAAGAAAATTATGATGAAACCAGTCGTGGAATGGGCTAATTTTTAAAAAAACTGAGAGAAAAGAAACATTAGCATTTTTTCCCACATAGTTGGAAGGGGCCATCTAGTCCAACCCGCCTGTTCAATGTAGGATCAGCTTAGAGCATCCTTGAAATAAATTATATGGATGGTGCAGTGGTGAAGGAAAAGAGCCAGAATATGGAGATTACTTTCCAAGATTAACGTCACTTTTGAATTGGCCTGCTAGTAAGAATTTTGCCACAATGATCTTTTTCATGACTTTAGACTGAAGAATGTCTGCACTCTGGTAGTAAGAGTTGAGTTGAGTCGAAGTTGAAATAATTCAGGTATTTGTTGCTTTCCTTTAAAAGCAATTAGATATTATTGTATAAAGAATTGGTAAAACTGTTAAATGCCTTTGTCTGTTTTTAGCTGTATCAGATCATTAAGAACATAAGAACATAAGAGACGCCAATGTTGGATCAGGCCAAAGGCCCATCCAGTCCAACACTCTGTGTCACACAGTGGCCAGAAATACCAGTGCCATCAGGAGGTCCAGCAGTGGGGCCAGGACATTAGAAGCCCTCCCACTGTTGACCCCCCCCAAGCACCAAGAAGACAGAGCATCACTTGCCCCAGAGCCCCTAGCTATACCTTGTGGCTAATAGCCACTGATGGACCTCTGCTCCATATGCTTATCTAATTCCCTTT